CTTGTTTGTTTCAAATTTGTTTTCAATTATAGTGAGATTATAAGAAAGGACACTTTATGTCATGCATAGACTGAATGATCGGGTCAGATACCACTGGCGTAGTCGTTTGTAATTTAGAACTGTTGACCAGTAGAGCAAACAGTCAATAGCACCAGCCGTCTATGTGTCTACTCTTAACGGAATAACGGGATTAACTGTAAAGATGCGGAACGTAATCAGCTGCATATTGTAGGCTTAAACTTTAGACCTCTCGTAATGCAGTCCTGCACGCTAATCGCTAGCCATGCTCAGCTCTTATGCATTGTTCCTAAATTAACTGAGAAGGAAAAGCATGCATAGTTATTGCAGTAAAGCTTTAAGGTTTTAATTATTTTTTTACAGGAAGTGAGAAATAAAACGACGAGGTTACACGTAGTTACTACAGGAAAACTATGAGGTTACACGTAGTTACTACAGGAAAACTATGAGGTTACACGTAGTTACTACAGGAAACTATAAGGTTACACGTAGTTACTACAGGAAAACTACGAGGTTACACGTAGTTACTACAGGAAAACTATGAGGTTACACGTAGTTACTACAGGAAACTATAAGGTTACACGTAGTTACTACAGGAAAACTACGAGGTTACACGTAGTTACTACAGGAAAACTATGAGGTTACACGTAGTTACTACAGGAAAACTATAAGGTTACACGTAGTTACTACCGGAAAACTACGAGGTTACACGTATTTGTTCCAGGAAGTGACAAATAAAACGACGAGGTTTCGCGTAGTTACCGAGTCAAACTATGAAGTTACACGTAGTTATTACTTTTACAGTAAGCAAGCAATAAAGCCATGAAGACGTAAGTAGCTGCTACGTTACATAAAAGTCATTAACCTCGTTTACTACCGAGATGAGTAAAGCAGGCAACTCAGAATTTTGTAACGTCGAGCAGGAATTTGTTTGAATTTGTATCTCAATGTTATATACCCACGTGTTTTAAGAAGGAAATCAGTTCGATGGATCATAATGGACATCTCGAATATCTCTACCAGTATCTTCTGTGTTGTTACGTGTATGCGTTCTGGTATAAAAATAATATAAAAATACGTGAGTGAGAACTGGGAAGGGGCTAGGTGGGAAACACATTTGGGAGGAACCTAATTTACGTGGATTCTTGAATTCAAAGGTACTCAAGGACTACGGTACATAGTTGGCCGTCCCTAATTTTGGACTAATATAGACTATAGGGAAGGCAGATAGTTAATAGAATTCACCAATAACTTAAGAGTTACTCTTATTCGACGGAATAGTAGGGGGTGGACCATCAATCTTATATATATAGTGTATCTATGGTCCGAAAGTGCGAATTTTGGAGCGAATTTTGGCGGCAACGGCTTGGTCATAGAACACTTAGAATAAACGCCGCGCATTTGGGAATCTGAAAAAAAAAAAAAAGTCTCGCTGTGAATGATCGGTGGACATGTGGAAATATCCGCCTCTGATCTATCATCACACACGTGGGAATCTGGAGATATTCTTCTTCTGAACGATCCTCGTATCTATAGCGACCGCGACACATTTGAAAGAACACCTTTTAAGAGCGCGCCCTCTTCCTCTCTGTGCGCACGTGTAAACGGATAGGTTTGATTTGAACCTGAATGGAACACATATTTTTCTTACTAAAACGGGCCTGGTGTCGCGGGTTCGAGTCCCAAGTCCCACCAAACATGCTCGCCCTTTCAGCCATGGGGGCGTTATAATGTGCGGTCAATCCCACTGTTGGTTAGCTCAAGTGTTAGCGGTGGGTGATGATGACTATCTGCCTTCCCTCTAGTCTTTCACTGCTAAATTAATGACGGCTAGCACAGGTAACCCTCGTTTTACTTTACGCGAAATTCAAACCAAACCAAATAAACCTTATTAAAACGTGATCATTTCTTTCATAATCTAATGTTCCACGAGCAGAAATGCAGGATAAAATACAATTATAGATGTTTAAATCCATTTTTTTAAAATCGTTTTTGTAGCTGTTTGTTTATATAAGTATTTATTTGTGTGTTCTGTTTATTTTTCTTTGTTTCAGTTTCCATCTCAAGTTTTTCCATAAGGCCCCCACTTTTAGGTAATTTGTTTATTTTATTATTTTTTTTTGCTGGTTATTTTCTGTTTATGAACGTGTAAGGTATATATTTTATTAGTCACATTATTAGTTTTTTTGTTTTTTTTTATCGACCAACCCAACCAAATTATGTTTTATTTCCACACACACACAAATAAAAGTTATCAAATGCCGAATGGAAATATATCTTTTTCCTTATGAAAATATATTTTAGTGTAGATGTTTTGCAAATACGAGTCCATTTCCTGTATTGGTATATTTTATCAAGACGTTTTTATAAAACCTGTTGATGTAAAATGACAACTACTATATTATGTATATATATATATATGTTTGTTCAATAAGTTTTTTTTCGTATAAATGTCCTCGTTTTTCAATAGAAACATAAAAAATACCACAAACTTCTAAAATAAACTAACTAACTAAGTAGAACTAACGTAGCAGTGATCAGCATTACAAATATATTGTTTGGCTGTCTTTTCCTTGTTATTAAAAATATGAAAATAATGTTATGGGTTTGTCTTAATGATATATGTATATATCTCTCTCTCTCTCGACAGTATAAATATATATACACATACATACAGAGGTTGAAATATGTATGGAAACTACACATAAAACTAT